AAAAACTTGTATCATATTTTCGTCTTGTGCTGATGAAAAAAAGCTTTAAAATAAAGTTTTCAAAGAAAATTTCTATTTAAAAAGCACAATTGATTTTCATCTTTCAAACAGTAAACTTGTTCACTTTTTTTAAACAATTTACTTTTTATACTTTTAAATTTATTCAAATGTATCTCGATATCGTCAGGATCATTTGGGCGTGAAGGAATTTTTTTTGAAACTAGTGAGTAAAAAGACGAAACATTTTCAAGAACATTATACTCCTGTGAAACTCGAATTTATACATTATAAAGAGAAAAGTTTTATTCGATAGAAGTCGAATGCCCTCTGTCGAACAGCTCTGTTGAGATTGGATTGTTGCTTTGCCCCAATCAACATCACTCGGATTAGTTGAAGAAAAATAAATAAATATTGTATACTTATAATAGTTCCTGATTGTAAATCTTTATTTAACATTTTAACATGACAATTCATTTCAAAATCGTTGCTTACAATATTTTCGAAGGTGGAGTCAATACTTCTAATCCTACTGGCAATGAACATTCTTTCAATCGACTTACTGCTATTGCGGCTTTTCTACGAAGTTTAAATCCAACATTAGTCGTTCTCACGGAATTGAATGGTTTTGATAGTTTACGATTTTCCGATTTTGCCAATCAATGGAATCATCAGTATACTGCTTTTCTTAATGCTTCTACTGGTTTTCATCTTGGAATTTCATCATTATTTCCATTGATTGAACTTGCTCAAGTGAAACATGACATGCATCATGGTGCTCTTCTAGTCCAAGTGAATTTCAATGATGAAATGAAGATTGGTCTAGTGGCAACTCATTTAAATCCATCTACAGCATCAGCTCGAACGATCGAAGCAAAAATGATCATTGATCAAATAAAAAAACAAGATCTACAAGATTGGATCATTGCAGGAGACCTGAATTCATTATCAGAACATGATGCTGCCTACTATCAACCATCGACGAAGTTCAGTGGTACTAACAAGCTGAAAGCCAAATTTTTGATTCCCGATTCAAACTTAATCGACTATACGACTCTGAACTATTTCATTCAACAAGGATACATTGATACACTGAACAAATCTGATCAATTTAGACCAAGTGTTCCTACAAAGTTAGATGTAGATCCCATGCATGCTTTACAGATGAGACTTGACTATATTTTAGCAACGAAAGAATTGACAGAAAAATTAATCGAGGCAAGCGTTGTAGATAATGAAAAGACTGCATTTCTGTCTGATCATTATCCCGTTATGGGTTCCTTTTTGATATAGAATTACATATGAAATAAAATACGATGCAACATACTTTCTTTTTCTTTTGGCTATTTTAAACAATCAAAGACAAACTAGTCTGATAAATCGAGAAGTGATGTACGTACACATTGTTTTCAGCCCTATTAATGATCCGAATATTCAATGACGGGTGTGGGTGTATGATGAGAAGATATGGACATTCACACCCACACTCTGATCCAGGTCCATGTCAGAATGCGAAAGACATCTGTTTCACATTTCAAACAGATAAATGTCATGAAAAAAAGTTGTATTGATGGACCGATGATTCGGTGTTCATGGTGTCAACAAGAACTTGCTTCACTAATTTTTTTTTCAAACTATCATTACCATCAGATTGATTAATCATTTTCTTGATCGTTTAGTTTATTTTCATTCGCTATATGCATCAGTTTTTTTTCTCGTTAAATAGAGAAAATAGCTAATAATCTTCTGCTTTTCTGCAATAAGTGACCATGCGTAAGAGCAATTTTAAAAAAAGCAGTTCGCGAAAACATCTTTTTATTGAGACATAAAAATAAACTTTTTTTAATAGAAAATACAGTAATGTCATTTTCAGAGAAACTTATTGCGCTTGTTTATCTGCAACAAAGCAGCAGCCGGATGAATCCTTTTAGAGTTTTTATCTACACTATTCCAACTTGTAATTATTGTTCACAAAACGTAGTAGAATTTCGTGTATTCAAACATTGTTTACATACGATGAAAAAAAGGATTGACGTAGGATTTTTTTTCTATTTTCTTCTTTACGTTTGAAATGCATCAAGCACAATTTCGATAGATTGAGAATTAAATAATTAAAAGAAGAAATTCTGCAGAAGTTGTATGATTATTTCGTCAATCATAGGCTAATATTGGATCAGTTCACCACTGTTTTAAAGTTGACGTGCTCTTTCTGACCATATTTTCTAGTTTTTATGTGATGTGTATTATATTTAAATATGAAAGAGTCAAGAATGAGTTCTACACCCATTCTCCGGAGTCATACCATTGAGCTGTTACATTTATTTTTGAAAAAAAAGTACGAGTTGTAAGAATATAAAATATTAAACATGGCTTCGTATTTTTGTCGTTTGATAACGCAGATAATTTCATTGTATTCTGTCGTGTCTACAACACAGAAATAGAAAAAAAAACTAGTTGGGAGATAATTATCTTCTGACGATGACATTGTTTTGACTGTTTTTTTTCTCTTTGCTTTTATTGATCCCTAGCTGATTATCCTCTTCTAGAGATTGGTTTTTTATGTAAAGAGAAACGATAATATTTTAGTTCGTCTTTTCAGAACTATTTTTCCCAATAAGAATCAATAACTACTGTTAATGATTTCGATTTCTTTGATGTCTATCTCAATATATGAAATCTAATTGGTGTCCTAAATTGTTTAGATGACTCATCTTTGGCTCTTATCTCACATAGTTTCTTTTATTATTGCCACAACTATTTCTACGAATATTGGACTTCGAACTCAAAAAGGAATAATATATGGCAGACAAACTCATCATTCAATTGAATATTTAGGGTAAATTCATAGATATTCTTAGAGAGAATTTCACTCCCTGTGATAAAATTCTTTTAGAATTCGATATGCAAAAATCATTCGATGGAAACCACCAATAGATCTTGCTTCAGAACCTTTTCCAAATGGTTCATTTCATGCGACATCATTTGGTCCATGTTGCCCACAAGCAACTAGTCCAATATATATTCCTAAACAAGATGAACAATGTCTCTATCTGAATATCTATAAACCTATAGTTTCATCAAATCATTCATTATTACCAGTATTTGTCTGGATTCATGGTGGTGGTCATAGGAGAGGATGTTCATCACAAAATATTCCATTGTTATATAATGGTACAAATATGATTGCTCATTCTCCAGCAGATCAAACAGTGATTGTAATCACAATTAATTATCGATTAGGTGTATTAGCAGATATGTATTTAAAAGAATTAATTGAAGAAAATCCGAAATGGCCAACTGCTGGTAATTATATGTACTTAGATATGTTATCTGCATTACGTTGGATAAAGAAAAATATTCAAGATTATGGAGGCGATCCGAATAATATTGCCTTATTTGGAGAAAGTGCTGGAGGACTTTCTGTTATTGATCTTGGTGCTATCAAAGGATCAGTGAATCTTTATCGAACAGCAATAAGTCAATCAGGTTTAGGTTCACCTGGTGCATATTCATCTTATTATAATATGAGTCATGCTTTGAATTATTCAAATTCAGTTGTTCAACAGTTAAATTGTGCTAATGATGATCAAGATAAAGTACTTTTATGTTTACGTAATTCTTCAATTGAAGACTTATTGACAGCTTATGGGAATCGATATACAAGACCAATAATTGATAATTATTTTTTTCCAAGATATCCTCCATTAGCAATTAAAAATGGAATGTATAATAAAGATCTTAGTCTTATTATGGGTAATAATGATGATGAAATAGCAGTGTGTTATGCATATCCCGATATAAATTTTAATGAAACTGTTGCATTATTATCTCAGTATGTCGAAGAAAAATGGATCTCAAGAATTGTGGATTATTTTCATTTAAAGAATTGTTCGTCTAATCGAACTGCTGATATGAATCGTTGTTGTGCTATAACTCGTTTAATACTCATAGATAATCTTTTTGATTGTAATGTTCATCGATTATACGATGCCTTATATTTAAAATATGGCTCAGAATTGGAGCAAAATAAATTATTTTGGTATCATTTAAATTGTCATCCTGAGTGTGCTGTAAGACGTTATAAAGGTGTATGTGTACATACAGCAGAACTTCCATATGTATTTGGAACTGTAAGTGATTATCTTTCGGTCGAACCAGTCAATTGCACATGGGATAATTCATCACGAATATTTTCAAATGAAATCATTTCATATTGGATTAAAATAGCTGCAACAGGGAGGCCATTCAGTCAATGGCCAAATTATGTTCCATTTACAAGAGAATATTTCTATATAACACCTGATCAAAATTTTTCACCGATGACATGGAATAGAAATTGTTTGATTTTTGATCAAATTGAAGAACAAGGAGTGAAGGAAAAATTTGGAAATAGTAGTCACACTTTTAAAGAAACATTTTTAATTATAAAAATATTTTTTGTGTATTTCATATTTTTATTCAATGAAAAAGAATGATAAGGTAATTGAACTGATTTATCAAGTCATTTAAACTCAACTTCGAAATATACTTCAAACTGTCAGATACACTTTCGATTCTGAGAATGAGGTTGTGAACAATTACTACATGGCACTAGAAAAATAATCATTAGTTAGCAGATTTTTTACCGATACAGAAAATTTCTGAGCATGTTAAACAAGATGAGTGTGAGGGTGGATGTGGGTGATTGTTCTTTTCATCCACACCAACACCTGCACGCACACTCATCCATACCCACATCCACGCTCGGCATTCAGATGTGTCCGATCTGGCAGTCGAATACTAGGCGTTGAGTTCGGAATTCTTACGTGTCTGATCACATCGGAGTAATCCAGAGGCACAATGCAGATTAAATACATCCGAAAAAATGTTTTATGTCAATTTATGTTTAATTTAGGCACCGAAGCAGAGACAAATGATTCACAACTCTATAATGTATTGTTTCTCCTTTGGCAAAACTGTTTATATTTTTCTTTTAAGGACACATTAACAACATAAGAACAAGGAGAAAAAAGCAAGCAACAGAGAACATATAAATTCACAAGCATCTCGCCATTCTGTACCATTTTACAAGCCGCCAACACCAATAAGAAAAGAAGAATCAGGTCAGCATACGATCGTTTCAAGACTGCAAAATCATATGCGTGGCTAGGAAATCTTTTGTATGTTCTTGACAACTTGTAGCAAGCAGCGAGACTTTTTCTTGCGTACAACTATGCCCAGTCATCCTAATTCTAAAAAAAAGATCTTGATAACTTCTTCCCAATCGATTGCTTTTTCCTTATCATTAGCCAAAAAATTTGAGATCTATTTCAATATGAATGATCAATTTGAATAGGATAGAAGGAACGAGAATAAAAAAAAAGTTTTAATAGATTATCATTGATATATAAGTTTTTTGCAGAAAAAATATCATGATCAGCTAAATTATTCATTTCGACTAATGGATTAAATCGAGTTCAATTACAGGTTACATTGGAAGGCATTGAAATTCGACAAATCTGGCGAGATCACGTCGAAATCATTTCTCTCTGATTCTGGAAACTGAATACAATAATATTTTATCCATGTTTTCTCTTCCGAAGGAAGAATTCGAAGCTCCGACAGAACAATCGTATAGATCGTGTCGCAATAACTACGGATTCCATCGATTGAGAGAATCGCATCTACGAAAGGGGCTCATCGTTCTCTCAAGCACTTCATTGAATAAAATACTGGAATACAGCCAGAAGTAGTAAAATCTGGTGACCGAAAACAGACTAGTTTTTCTGTATGGAATCTGGGCGATGAGATTTTACTGTATTTCTACTGCGATCCGTAACCGATATCTCTTGAATTTCGGATCAATTTACAGGAGTGATGATCATCTATTTCATAGAAGAAGACTCGTTAATCGATCTCAAAATGAATTGATTTTTGTATTTTTCGTGTTTAGTCTTCGATATACTCACAGAATCAAGCTTAAAATAAATTGCTTGTCTTTGCTTATTTAAGCATATAGGATGTCTGTATTGATGGGAAATGATTTGCTGGAACGTCTAAGTTATTACAATGCTGGGTATTATTGCATAATCGAAAGGGTTGAATTTTTTCCTGGTATTATTCGTATTTGTATTGATGAACGAGGAGATAATTCACTTGGTATGTTGATTTTTGAAGAAATCAAAAAAAAAAAACAACGATTCTACAGTTATGATTTGTTATACTTAGGTCCTCTTCAAACTCCAATGAGTTCAACATTGGGTATTCTAAATGAATCATCACTATTAGAAGCTAAAAATCCTATTGATGGAAAATTTTCTATTAGCGATGGATCTCGTCAATATTCAGGTAAGCATAACTTATTCTTTGTTTTTTTCATTCTAGTTTTGTTCATTTTATGAATATAGGTTACCTTGATTTTGAATTGGATAGATCGTTTTTGAATGGTCAAAATATTATTGGTTTTCAATATGGTAGTTGTGGTTATTCAACGGCAAGACTCTTTCAGTTTGATCAGGAGTTAATTAGCAGATATCGTGTTAAGTCAGCATAGAAATCGAAAAACATATACAATGAATCGTGAAATTTCGGCTTCCATTCCTCTCTTTTTTTTATAAAAACATTTCCAACACAAAATTCATAATTCTCTCTATTTCTTCGATCTATCTGATGAGTTAAAATATATCCAATCGAGTAAATATTTAGTTCGTTCCTTTATGTACTCGCACGCCTGACTTATGGTGAATATGAATTACATCTTGGTATTTGAAATTCGAAGACAACACTATTTTTGTTCATCGAAAAAAAGGAAATATTATTAGTCATGATTTTTCAATTGTTCTTGGTATAAAACATGTTTCATTTCTTCATGCACGTCTTTTATGACTTTACATTATCTAGAATGAATTCATTTGAAAATTTTATTCATACCACACATATACACACTTTGAATAGCTTTCTGCTCGATTTCTCATTTTTTTCAACACAGAAATAACGTATCTTACTCCGATATGATAATGAGTACTTCTCTCGAACAATTGTAGATCAAAAGTTAGAACAAAGTTTCATTCTTGCACTTAAATTCAAGCAAAACGAACACATGTTTTGAAAAATCTGTAGAAGAACAATCGGATGTTGGTAAACACTGACATGATGAAACCATGCGAAAAACACTTTGTAGTATGCATTAACAATCTTGTTGGTTACTCTACAATAAACCTTCGAGCATTTTCGTCTATAGAAATATCAGCAATGCATTAGCACAATCATCTACACTCCATGTTAGTATTGACTTTGTTATTTGGTTGCGAACGAAAAAACACCCATGAGGGTTATGAAAAGAAACAGAAAAAATCTAGATGCGAGTGCCGATGTAAGAAAGGAAAGACAAGATTAGGGTGCTCGAGACAAGGACGCAACAGAATGAAAACAGTAACGAGAATCGTGAAGAAGGAAAAAATATACAGTAGCGCTCAAAATTATTCATACACTGTGTATAAAATGACGCGTAAATTCAAGATATTCGGGTGTGGGTGTGAATGTGTGATCACCGAATATTTACACCGACATCCATAGTTCACCTACACCCAGCGACTCTTTAAATACAACAGCCCAGAATTCGATTCTAATTCACTCTGAATAAAAAGCTCTAACTGTTATAACTGGCCTTTAAAAACGATTCACTTGCTTATATACGTTAGAAAAGTTTGTGCATAGACATGCTCGACTAATTTCTCGGACAGATTATCATAAGCCTAGTCAACGGGTTATACAGAGCAATAGTTGTATAGGTATCAGTGCAAAGAAGATTCGCATCATCGTATTCAACTTTGCTGCAATTGAATGAAATCTATTATGTGGTGTTTATTAGTTCCATTTTTTATATTGGAAAACAACCGATCAGGATTTATACAAGAAGAAATATATGATTTATTTCTTCTATTACCATATGTCATTGACTGTGTATTAATTGTGTCTCAACGAAATCCTATCGTCACACTGGTTTTTTATATATTTACAGCTTAAAAGATTTTATTTCATAGAGACAAATCATCAAGAGTTTCTTTATAAAAATCGATTGTTTCAATCAAAAAGTCGTCACATATTTGCGTTGTCGATGTTTTGTCTTCACATATTTATCAAGTTGCTCATGAGTGACCTTTGTTCCAGTTGTTTGTAATGATTCCATAAGATATTCAATTTTGATTTGTTGTTTCTCTAGTTCTTCATTTGCTTCGTCATTTTCTTCTCTCACTATGTCAAATGCTTGTTGAATTTTTTCAACGATCAATCGATTTCGAAGTGAGATCGAATGAGCAACGGCATGAAGAGCCCGAACAATTTTCCATAAACGTAAAATAACAAAAGCAGAAGCTGTTCGACCAGACTTATTAAAATTACTGAAATGAAAATAGATTTCCAAAATGAGCGAAACCAATACAATGCAAGCATCAAGTAGAAAGAGTGGCTTGATATAACGACGCCATCCAAAAGCATAGAAAGAAACAGATATTTCCAAAACAAAGATGCTAAGTATAATAAGAGAAACATAGTACAGGAAATGTTCGCCACCTATTAATGCTGATGAACGATACAATAAACATTCACTTCGTTGTATGGTAGTATTGTAAAGTTCCATCTCGTCTTCGGCTAGACATGGTGATGATAAAAGTGCTAAACAGGAAAGAATGATTTATTGTTTTTTGTTGAATGACAATGCATGAAACATTTATTATAGAATTGCAAACGATGATAATAGATAGGAGACGATGTACATGAAATTTTTTTTGTTTATAAGCTCATTCTATTTCAAGCAAACATCATTACATTTTCTTGAATGATTCCAATAGAATCAATAGCTGTCCTCGAGTCTTTTACTATTCGACAGCATGTCCTATAGTTTATAGTTTGATCATTAATTGAAGTTATTGATAAAAAGATGCATAACATAATTTCGTATACTTAAGTCGTCTGTTAACACAAGATGACAGTTTTATTTATTAATCAAATGCTTATTGACATTATTTAAATATGTATGTAATCATCTACATAAATTCCATACTATATGCTTCTAATCGAAACATCAAATGTCGCAAAAACCGGGTCATTTTTAGCGGCAAACCGCCGATTTTTATCCGATTTTCACTACCTGGAATGCATGGTTAGTTAGAGAAAAACAATGAAGAAATATCCTGAAAACTTGTTGATATGTCTCATTTTGTTAAACATTTTGCAAGTAATCATTTCAGCAAAACGATACTTGGATTTTCATCAATAAATAACTGTACGAGACATGAAGCTGCTTCGCAGCTAGAAATAGATATAATACTGTTCAAGATCTCGAGTACAATGCCGTCATTTATTTAATAACTTTCGACAGTGTCTTGTGACGTGTCTGCATTTTTCTTCTTAAGAAATAATCCATCTTCACACTATTACATTAGAAAAGCTTGTTAGCACAGCCAATTTTGGACTGAAATGTGGAACTAACATATACTCTCCAGCCTCATTCACCTAATACAAAATATGTAAAATAAGAAATGTATCGTAGAGTACAGTTGTTTTGTAAGATAATTGAAAATCAGAGTAAGAATCTTTCGAATTTCTGCATTTTGAATAGAAATCTTTTTTTCTCTACGGGCACATATAAATCAGCTCACAAACAATGATCTGGATTATCTTTCAAAATTATAACTTGATCAATTTTTCAAAAAAACCAGAAAGTCTGATGCCTATTATTCTTAATTACTAAGGTCTGTAATGAGATGGGAAGAGGGAGAGGGAGCCATGAAACTTCGACTTAAAGCTTATACTCACTATTTTCTTCGAAAATATATGTGAGTTCCACAAAAACATCGATCAATGAATAAAGTATGTAGATATTTTGCAAAACATACACTCTCAATTCGATCTCTCTACTAAGTAATTCAATTTCTTCGCATGAATTCTTCACTCAAAAATTTAATCAATCAGTCTGATTCTTCTCAATTAGAAGCAAACTACACAAAGATTCTAAGCAAAATAAAATATGTTCAAAATTTTTGAAAGCAAAACTATGTTGAAAATATTGAGCTTTATTTTCTTAGCCTTCAGTAGCAAGAATGCCTTTACTTTGTGGTACAGTTTAGATTAAAATAACTACTTACCAAAAACTAAATCAATAAATACGTCAATCAAATCGACAATGATTAATATGATGATTGTATAATGAAATGCTGGTTTATTAAAAATGTGTAGAATAAATCGTCGAGATTGTTGAATTCGACGAAGGAAGCTGCCACTTGACATTTCCTCTTCATCAGCAGCGACTTCCTCTTTCTCCTCTTCTAAAGCCGTCTTTTTACGCATTTCACGAATCATAATAGCGAGTCTAAGTTCGCCCTTCGAAGATCTTGAGTTAACACGGGCTCTTCTAATTTGATTATTTTTCATTTCACGACTCTTTTTAACAGATGATAATTGTAATGCGATTGAATTTCCTTGTGTTGTCGTTTTTCCATTGATCTTTTTATTATCATCAGGGTTAGATGCTGTTGATGTCGTCATTTATAGTTTGATTGAAGTTCTAGATTCTTTTTCTCTAGTATATATATATATATATACCTATATTAATCTATATATAAAAATAAATATATAATAAAGTGCAAAACGAATTACTGTTGAATATACGAGCTTTAGAAAAGCTCTTATCCTGTACATTATGATTTGAAAATTCAAGAATAATATATTCGATGAGCATGTATTGTGAAAATGGACATTCTGCTCTTATAAGGCTATGTGATAAGAAAATTAAAGATTTCCATAAGAACGTCTTTTTTTGAGATGGTAAAAGGGGTTTAACTAGTAATTGAAAAAAGACTCAATCCCATGGTATACTCACTATGCAATATGTTACTGTATCTATGTTAAATATGTTTTCAGCTTGTCATCAAGTTATTTGATAATCGAGAAAGTGCTTTTTGCTTTACTATATTCATAAAGTAGAAACACATTTGAAAAATAGACTGCCCGTTACTACAAGCAAGGAAGCAATGCCCTAGAGTAACAGATGCCTGGAAACAGTACTAAATAATGTAGTCGAGTAAATTTTCATCGGAGACATCAGCTACATGAAGTTTGTTAAAATTGAGTTTTTTATATGCCTATCTTGTGAAAGAAAGCCTTGAGAGATATTTCACGTTTGGGAATGTTTTTTGCTTTTGTTTAATATCTACTGTAAATATTTCAGTGTTCTATCATCTAACGTGAACGAAGAACTAAAAATCTGGATTTAGTTAAGTGAAAAAGTGAATCCGTCGATCGAAAAGCATCACATGATTATGTTAGAAGTTTATAAAGATTAGTTTGATAAACAAGGCATTCCGTTCTACTGATGTTAAAAGCCGAAAGATAAGTTAAATCAAGTCGATGAAATTCGAATCTATTCTCGAATAAATAATTTTAGGGAAGAAGAGCAGAAACTAGTCTGGAAGAAACAGTGATTTTCTGAATGAATAATTTTCTACATGGTAACTTTTAGACACGAAATCAATGTACACTTAGCAAATCTATATTCTTGTAGAGTTCGTAGAAACTAGAAGCGTCTGTTTGACAGACATTCTTTGGGTTCGAATTGGCAACGGCATTCAATAAATTTTAGTCAGATCGTAAAATGAAGTAACCGTCGATTCACTATTGTCAACTGTTACTCTTTTAATCTAGACCAAAAATACAATGTGACTACTCGAAGAATTTATTAATTTTACATGCAAATAACCTATCTGCTAATTATGAGACTACTCCATTGTCCTCAGTAGTAAAACTGTTATTAGGAAAAGAGCTAGATATTTGAGAAACAGATAAACTTCATTTCTGTTACAGAATTTAACTTTGATCTAGCATAATAATATTCTCGGTTCACACATTATTCTATATTTCATAATTTCTGGTTCTGAATCTACAATGATGCTGTGATCTCACACTCATGACTAACGGTTTTGCAGAGACTTTTGTTGCAAATTTCGCGATCACAAAAGTGCTTTTCGAGCTTTGGACATTAAAGTCATTTAGCCTTTTTTGTAGGTCTCTGACATGAAAAACCTTACTGATGAGTGTTCGAGACTGTACCACAGGCACTGAGACACATTTTTTCATAACTTTTGTGAAACATGATTGTTAATCAATGTTTAAGTATAAGAAAAAAAGTAAATATTCTGCCTCGTCCTCTGGACATTTTGTCACATATGTGTTCTCAAGTTAGTTATTTTATAATTTTCGATCGCGTACTTCTTTCAATTCTATTCGTATCGGATTTCCAGAGGGGATCCATTAGACGAGTTATCAATCTTCGATGAAACTGATCACTGCTAAAATTTTGATTTTGCGATCTAGTCACCTCAGATGATAGACCATTGTTAGAAAGTTTTAAATCCAAAATATGAGTTGTTTCTGACTTTTCTATTCAAAAAAACTGTTAGTGCAATCCCTGCAAGATTAAAATCTAAAAAAAAATGCAGCTACTTTTGGTGAGCACACAGAACTCGTTGTAATCTATCTATTTTGCAGCACATTTCTAATCTATCCTATTATTTATCCTTTCATAACTAGAATCAAGAATTAGTTCACATGTTATAAGGCGTTATTGATGTACAGTCTTGGATCGTATATCGATAACATCTTGCATAATCGGTAGTACAGTTTCAGACTGTCTGTCACGTTTAGTGATGAGGTTTCTGGCTGGCTGTCAGCAGTAGGGAAGCTGTTTTACTTTTCTCGCTATATTCTTTAACGCTTCTTTCATTAACTATGGGTCAATAGGTCATTGGTTAGCTATTAATTAGATCTTTATTAGTTATTGAGTAAACATTAATTAGCTAATGAGTTAAAATGTCTCTCATGACCTATGGAGGACGACAATAGGAAGTGAATCCAAATTTCTGACCTGTATACTTCAACACTAGAGACCTGCAAAGTGATCACGCGTGACTGTGGCCAGATTTCTCATAATTCTGCCTACTGCAAAAACCAAAATTAGGAAAAAATCGAACGATTTTGTGATATTTTTATGATTTTTTTACCAAGAAATCGAAGCTTGTGGACACGAACTGAGTCAGTTTTGGTGACTTTAGTGTTTAGGAAAATTTTTAAAAGGATTTATTAGTGAGGTTGTTACTAAATCTGAAAATTTCTCGTAATCGTGTCATGATCGTGACCAAAAAATCGTAGTCACATAGATCTCTATTCAACACTCCTTTTAGATCATGTTTCACAAATGCAAAAGTAAACAACCGACATTGCTCTCAGCATTCGATCGAAAAATTAGTTTTTGATGATACTGTTAGTATTTTGTACTTTTCTCTTCTTCTGCTTCTTTATTTGAATTCGAAGGCGTCTCAAAAGAAGCAGATCTGTATTCTTAGCTGAGTCAAGTAACTCATCAACTTCTAACATATTATTCATTAATTGATAATGCCAATATAGAAATGAAAATAGTGAACCCATACTATGAATGGTTTCAGTTGATTGTCAGCTCCATCTATTCTGACCCAAGACCAGGATACTAGAGATTCTATGTTCATTCGAATCAAAAATATGATTTCCGACTCGTAATTAGGATAAGAAACAAAGTGTAAAAATAGTCAAGTTCCAAAAATTCTATTGAATTATAGATGGCTGAGCAGTATTTGTGGAAGATAAATTGATATCTTTGAAGCTACTATACTAGTGATTCTAAATCAGACCAAACATTTGATTTTATAGTTTCTCATGAAAAACTAGAGAGGCTTGCAAAAATATCTAAAACTATACGCTTTCAGATACTCTTTAGCTATCTAAATTCAATAGAATATTTGAAACCTGATTAAGTGTATATAGGTATTATCAATTATTGGTTAATATTTTAGAAGTTAATAGATTATCTAGCTTTGTTAAGAAAACAGATTTACCTTTCGTTGAACGCCTCCAAACTCGAAGAAAGGAGTGGACACAAAAACAAAAATACAAAATATTAACAGCACTATATAAAATCCAATTTTTCGGCCGAATGCTAAGAGTAATATCGATTGAATATGTTAATATTTTTCATAAGAAAGTCATGAAGAGCTAATACTTTTGGAGTTAGAGGTTTCTAATGATGGTCTCTGATGTGAGATAACTAAAAAGAAAATCAAAATTTTAGTGACCATCAGCTTCATACAAAGTTTAATATATCTTCTGTTGGATCTTATGTGAGATTTTTTAAAAATTTTCCTTGGACTTAAAAATCTCGAATCTGCAGGACTGGTAATGAATTCATTTTGTCTTCGTAAATCATGCTTTTTTTAAAAAATATTATCCCTCTGAATTTCTATGATTGTAGCATCACCTTTTACGACATTTTAGAAGTCATGTTCTTTAGTATTTTTGAATGTTTTTGGCACACGAGGATATGGGTGTGAAGTTAGGTGTTGGTATGAATGATCTCTTAACACCGATACCAACACCCTCACTTCAAAACAAAAATTCAAATTTGAATTGAAATTATCAATCGAAATCTCCAAGAATAATACTATACAAAAGTGAAATAAAATGAAAAACGTTTCGACAGAAAAACTTGATACTAACATGTTGTCATGTCTCTCATAGTCTATGAAAATAAATGAAATATCGTGAGTGATTATTAGGAGGAAGGACATGATAATTGTCTGAGATAAATTAATTTATAAATGAAGAACACACGTATATATATATATATATATATATGAGTTTTCTTTTCTTCTTTTACTTTTCAATAGTGAAACGGACGACAACAAGACGGTAACACTGGAACAAAAGAATCTACCTATTTTCTTCTTCGTCCGTTCTACTATTGAAAATTAAAAGAAGAAAAGAAAATTCTTATATATATATATACGTGTGTTCTTCATTTATAAATGAATTTATCTTTGTTTTGGTATGTAAGAACCTGATGAAGAAGGAAGTGTCCTTCGAAACGTTGTAAAAGAAATAAATTCGTTAAAGTAAAAAAAAAAGGAAAGAAAAAAGACTATTCTCAGACAAGGAAAATATCTCTGTCATAGCTGGCGATTGAATTTAGAAAATCATTGCGCAGGGAAAAAATGTTATTTCAGAAAATCAACATAACTGTGTGAATGTTTTCTTATTTAAACTATTCTAAAAAATTCTATAGTTAAAATTTTAAAAGTAAAAACCTTTTCCTAATAAAACTTCTTGATCGTATTATATATATCTGCATGTAAGATCTTCAAAAAGATCTGTTTAAAGATTCTTATATGTCAAGATCATGCAATAGATATCAATCTTGATTACCTTTTCTTAAGATCTTGAATAAAATAAATAGTGACATCATCAATTTATTTAAATGTTGAATAATTTTTTAATTCCTTGTAACTGATTTCCAAAAGTCGACCATATTAACGTGTCAATGTTGGAGAAATATTTCATAATTTGACAAATGTGGGGTTACTTGTCAGGCAATCAAATTAAAATTATCAACAACAATGAGAGAAGAA